CATACGTCCCTGAAGATGAGAAGGAAGCAGCACTGTTGGATGAAGACCTGGATGGAGACGACTCAGCTCAGGAAGGCGAGGAGCCTGTCGCCAAGTTCCTATTACAGGACAAGGACTTCCTTCTCAAGGACAGGCCAGGATCCACTGGCTTCCATGACTCCCCAAATGCTGCTGACTTTTCTGGTCAGGAGCTGGACAGTGAGTCTCACCTGAGTGAATCCAGTGACAGGATGTCTGATTTTGAGAGCTCCTCACTTAAAAATGAGGATGATGTCCTCCTCTCTAAAGACCCCTCAAATGCCCTGTCCCTGTCTTCCTCTTCTGCCATGATGGCCGCTGCCAATGCTGCTGCTCCAGTAAGTGCAGATGAGGCCATTTTAGCCACAACAGGGTCTGTGGCTGACAGCCTGGAGAAGATGAAGGCCATTTACACATCTTTCCTGACCAACTCCTATTGGTCCACGCTAAATCTGAACTTGAGCCAGCCCCCTGCAGAAAAACCCCCTCGCAGCCACAGCAGCAGTAGTAGTAGCAGCAGTAGCAGTAGCTGTGGAAGTGGAGGCTATGACTGGCACCAGACAGCTATGGCTAAAACCCTCCAACAGGCTTCACAGAATCACCAACACAGACTTGGCCTGGTTCAAAACCCCACAGTGGCTGTATCCACTGCATCTACAGAACCCAACCTCTTTAGTACAGTCCAGCTGTACCGGCAAAGCTCCAAGTTATATGGCTCCATATTCACTGGTGCCAGCAAGTTCCGCTGTAAGGACTGCAGTGCAGCCTATGACACACTAGTGGAGCTCACGGTGCACATGAACGAGACAGGCCACTACCGCGATGATAACCATGAGACAGATAGTGAGGGTGCTAAACGGTGGTCAAAACCCCGAAAGCGTTCCTTGCTAGAGATGGAAGGGAAAGAGGATGCACAGAAAGTTCTGAAGTGCATGTACTGTGGGCACTCCTTTGAATCCCTTCAGGATTTAAGTGTCCATATGATCAAGACAAAACACTACCAGAAAGTGCCTCTGAAGGAGCCTGTTACACCAGTGGCAGCTAAGATTATCTCTTCGGCTCGAAAGAGAGCCCCTATAGACCTAGAGATCCCTAGCTCACCTGACTCTAATGGAGGAACCACACCTAAGCCCATCTCCCTCAATGACTCAAATGACATTCTCCAGAAGGTCACCAACCCTTACATCACACCTAACAACCGCTATGGACACCAGAATGGTGCAAGCTATGCCTGGCAGTTTGAATCCAGGAAGTCACAGATCCTCAAATGCATGGAATGTGGCAGCTCTCATGACACATTGCAAGAGCTAACTGCTCACATGATGGTGACAGGACACTTTATTAAAGTCACCAACTCTGCTATTAAGAAAGGCAAACCCATTATAGAGCCACCCACCCCAGTCCCCACATCCAATTCTACAGCTGAAGAAAAGGTCCAGTCCGTTCCCTTGGCTGCCACAACCTTCTCCCCTCCACCTGCTCCAGTACCTCCTCCAACCAGCATCTCCCCCATTGCCATGGCTGTGGATATTAAAAAGGAGGAGAAGGAGGAGGAATGCACTAAAGAGTTCATCATCAGCAATGGTAACAATCTCAACAAGGAGAAGAAGGCAGGAGGTGAGGAGGATGCAGAAGAGAAGTTTGATATCTCTTCAAAATACACTTATCTGACTGAGGAGGATCTGGATGAAAGTCCAAAGGGGGGTCTTGACATCCTCAAGTCGTTGGAGAACACAGTGACCTCTGCCATCAACAAAGCCCAGAATGGAGCTCCAAGCTGGGGTGGATATCCTAGTATCCATGCTGCCTACCAGCTCCCAAACATAATGAAACTCTCTCTAGGCAACTCTGGGAAGAACTCTCCCCTTAAATACATGTTCTCTGGAGGAGAGATTCTCTCCCCCACTGGTAAGAGCCAGCCTCTGATCTCCCCTTCCAGTCGCCAGACCTCCCCACTGCCCAAAAACAACTTCCATGCGATGGAGGAACTTGTCAAGAAGGTGACAGAGAAAGTGGCCAAGGTAGAAGAGAAAATGAGAGATCCCAGTGGTGTTGTTAGGGGATCTCCTCTAAGACGTACAACTCCCTCACCCTGCAACAGTGAGACAGGGGACTCAGCCCAAGGAGAGTCCCCCAAAGAAAATAGAGCAGGAGGCTGCAAATCTCCCGAGAATACAAGTGGAGTGGAAAAAGTAGTAGTTGATGGAAGTGGATCCAATCACAGAGATTCAAATGGTGATATTTCCTTAAACGAGTCTGTGGAGAATGGAGCGGAGTCAACTGCTGTGACATCCCCCCTGCCTGCCTCCCTGTGTGGCAGTACAGCTATTATCACAGACCATCCACCTCCAGAACAGCCATTCGTCAACCCTCTCAGTGCACTGCAGTCAGTAATGAACGTCCACCTGGGCAAGGCCGCTAAGCCGGCCCTGCCCTCTCTTGACCCAATGAGCATGCTGTTCAAGATGAGCAACAGCCTGGCAGAGAAAGCAGCGGTGGCTGCTTCCACCCCACCAGCACAGTCCAAAAAGCCCAGTAATGACCACTTAGACCGTTACTTTTACCAGCAACATCTAAACAACGACCAACCAATGGATCTCACCAAAGGCAAAAATGCTGACAAAAACAGCAGTGGTGGTTCTCTGGGTTCAACTGCTCTCTCTTCTACCACCTCCACTCCGTCCTCAATTTCCCCCTCCTCTACTGTCACTATGACCAAAGCCTCAGCTGCGGTAGCTTCCTTTATGTCCACTTCCCCTTTGAGAGAAAATGCACTGTCAGACATCTCTGACATGTTGAGGAATCTGACAGAGAGTCAGGCTCTCTCTAAGTCCTCCACACCTACCAGCCTGTCCGAGCGCTCTGACATCGAAGGTGTCACACAAGAGGAGACAGAAGATGTTTCACCAGCCCAGAAACGTAAAGGCCGCCAGTCCAACTGGAACCCTCAACACCTCCTCATCCTACAAGCCCAGTTTGCTTCCAGTCTGAGACAAACAAGTGATGGCAAGTACATGATGTCAGACTTGAGCCCGCAGGAGAGAATGCATGTCTCCCGTTTCACTGGCCTCTCAATGACTACAATATCCCACTGGTTGGCTAATGTCAAGTACCAGCTGAGGAGAACCGGTGGCACCAAGTTCTTGAAAAACTTGGATTCAGGTCACCCAGTGTTCTTCTGTAGTGACTGCGCCTCTCAGATACGTTCACCATCCACCTACGTCAGCCATCTGGAATCCCATTTGGGCTTCCGTCTGCGAGATCTGGCTAAGCTTTCTGGGGAGCAGCTGCTCAGCCAGATTTCACAGCAACATCATCAACAACGCCACACCAAAGGACTATCTGAAAAACTGCTCTCTAATCTTCACCCATCCAGCCACCCTCTACCCTCCTCCCTTCCCACATCCCTAACCTCTTCCTTACCCATCTCCCTGCCCTCATCCTTAACCACCTCTCTGCCCTCAACTGAATCCCCGTCACCCTCCCCTGACAATGACGATGACAATGGGGTCATGTACAAGTGCAAGCTCTGCAACCGGACTTTTGCGAGCAAACATGCGGTCAAGCTTCACCTGAGCAAGACTCATGGGAAGTCCCCTGAGGACCATCTCCTGTATGTGTGTGAGCTGGAGAAACAGTAGCACTGGCTGGGGACAATGCTGCATTCTTTTGTAATAGCTCACTCTTTCTTGTTCTGTCTCTCTTAAGCATTTCACAGACATTTCTTTCAAAGAAAAGAAAGGATTATTAATGTGACCGAACTGCACAAAGATGCCATACAACTACTGCTTTGAGTTTTGGCACATGATTTTATATTTTGTGTTGTAGCAGTTGTTTCTTTAAAATTTTGTTTCTGTGTGAGGTAAACTCACTCCAGCCCAAGACACTCGATTTTAGCGATCTCCCTTGACAGGAAAAGAGTGACTTTTTTCAAAATGTGCAGATGGGAGCTGTTGTCATTGAGAAAATACAGTATGAAGGTTTAAAAAAGAGATTCTAAAATGAAGTGGTGTGTATTTTGAAATTTGTGTAAATGGAATTAAGGTCCGTTATATTTTGGCATCACTGGGGTGTGATAAGCTGCATGCATAAATGAAACAGTTTAGTTAATCATTTTATAACTAAATCTGGTGCACTTTCTGTGATTTTTTTTTCTTCTTTTTTTCAATCTCCTGATCTCTTTTGTGCTGGAGTCAGCATTTACAATTTAACCCTCTGAGTACGCCGAAGCACTTCTACACCTAAGATCTAAACGTCATTGATTTGAGAATTGCTGAAGCTATTGTGAGAATTAGATGGACAATGTATGCATTGTGTCTCCAAGACATACAGTATGTTGAGTCTAATCCTTGACATGAAAACATTTTCTCAGTTCACTGCAAGGTTTCATCTCGGGCTTAATATTTGTCGGAGAGATGCTTGCAGGACTTGACACAAGCACTGTAGCTATGTGGTAAAAAATAAAAAAATAAATCTGAAGTCTTTTACTTTCATCGATCAGGGACCTATATTAATTCAGGTCTGTGTAAAATATGTATATAAAAACGTATGAACTAATTTCTGTCTAAATTATGCATCATTTCTATATTTTTAATTTAAAAGGATTATGACTATCTGCTGGTGCACAGTATATGAAGACATAAATAAAATTGTTTTGCACAATAGTTTTATAAATGTGTTATTTAATCAAAGGATATGAAAAAAGACAGGTTGCAAAAGGATGACAACAGGTGAATCTTTTTATTCCCAACTCGTGCTCAAAGGGTTAAAGAGTCTTTTTACCAGACACTACTCTACATGTGCCGCTGTATGAACACTAAAAAGATATTAAAGGTTGTACAAAAAAGATGTTACTTTATGAAGATATTTCACATGTAAACTGTTATTTATAAGCACTCTTGGTTGTTTCATATTGTTGAATGCCTTTTCAATTGGTCCTATTTTTTTTGTTCTGTCTAATTACTCTGCCATGATTCCAGACTGCAGCTTTATCTTTTTGGGATATGAAAGGTAACCATGGTTACACTAACCTCTTGAGTGACAAGTTCTGCTACATTTTTGGCAGTTAATTTGCTGAAGTAACTGACAGCTGCCAGTGTAGAGATATAAAAAAAATCCTTATGTGTAAAATATCGGCATGTAAACAGCACAGATACTGTAATGCATTCTGTGCCGTTAGTCTTTTTGATTTCGTTCTTTCGTTTTCTGTTGTTGTTGTTCTTGACAATGAACCCCCATTATATGACTTCATATAACCTTGTTTTCTACTGCAGCATTAAAAAAAAGAAACTGTTTTTTGCAATAATGTGTGTGTGCATCGTGTGTTATGGCTATCAATTATGTGTGTGCTATGCAGTCCCTAATGAGCACATTAGACTGGGAGTGTGTCAACGTCTGTCTGTGACGAGCTGCAGACTAGTTTACAGTGAGTGGCAGCAGCAGGGCCGAGTGGGAGACATACACACACACACACACACACACACACACACACACACACACACACACAGACACACATATATTCAGACATGCAAACAGACACCATCATTGTTGGGCTTTCCCAGTAGCCTCTTCTGTTGTCCTAGTGGCTTAGACTAAGGCAGACACAGCATTCAAATGACAAAAAGTAGTTTTATCATTGTAAGGGGGCAGTGGAGCAATCAAACAACCAGAGAGCAACTGAGCTCCATACTCAGCTCCTTTCTCTTGCAGAGACACTGCAAGACACTTGCACACAGACAAAGTTTCCCTTCCATATCTCTTGCTCTGTAATTACCCCGACATCCATTTTGTGACTAGGTAAGAAACCTGGCAGACATATTTGTTTAGGCTTCATGGCAGATGACAACAATGCTGACAAGATGAGCCAGTCTTTTCAAGTATTTATTTATTCATAAATTTCCCTCTCCGGACCTCTGTAAAAGGAAATGTGTAATAGGAAGTGTGTTTAGTATGTGCTGCACAGCAGTATAAAATAGAAAAACAGATGGAATGAAGTGTTAAAGCTATCAGGAGTAACAGATATAGGAGAGATACTTTGTGTCTGAAGATCTACATATGAAGAAATATATGTTCAGTATTGATGCAACGGATTGTAGTTGATCCATGATCCGTACAGACCCCCCACATCACAGTTTGGGAAACAGTTCTACTGCAGTTGTTACAATTTAAAGTAATAAATACGGACATTGCGATGTAGAGTTGCAGTAAAAAGATAAAAAAGACAGATGCATGCTATGTTTAACTCTGAAGCGCAGTGATTGGTTTAGGGGAGAGGGACTGATTTAAAAGTCGTCGCTTTCGTCAGCCTTGACATCAGCATTTTCAGTGGTGTAACAGGGACACTGTGCTGCTTGTCGTCATTGAAACGGATCACGCAATTGTGATGTTTATTCTCGCTTCAGTAATATCTGCTGCCTTCCCTTTTGTCACACCACTCCGCTGTTCACTGAAGCAGCTACCGTCTCACAAGTGTAGATAGGCTTTTACTTGTGATGTGTAACCAATCAGACTGAGCGAGTCTACAGATAGAGAGAGGCGGCTACATCATTTTAAAATTAATTGAACCCTAACTTTGTTTTGCTAAACTGAAAATGATCCGATCCTTGACTCAAAACCACGGAACCAACGTCAGTTGTAATCTGTTGCACCGCTAATGTTCGGTACAATTGACTCTTTGCTAAGCCACGCCCCGAATACGCAGCTGGCCAATCACAGCACAGTATAGGACTCGCTCTAACTGAGGTCCGAATCCAGAAAAATGTCAGCTGTGGGATGTTCCTAATGTAATTTTAGTTAGCTAACGCTAGCTAACTTCCTACTGAATGTAACATTATAAAGTCCTACCGTTCAGCTTTTTAATGATTGTAATAATGAATAAGGGCCTACCCAGCTTTACAGGAACGGTGTTGATCGTTCATATCGTTGTCTTTTGTCTCAATCGTCGGGGGATGCGGTGGTTCACTTGTACTGTGTGATCGGTAGGCTTTAGCTTCTATCTTTAATATTTTTCACGTCCGTTTGAGTCAGTTTGACAGCCTGAATACAACCTTCAAATGTATAATGCAACTGAAAAACTGTCTGCTTCTTTCTGAGATCACTTTTTCCAACAAATTTGACAATATTTCTCCGGGGAGTGCAGTAATAGACAGTGGCATCGCTGACAATTTGTCGGACTTAGCAACAGTAACTAAGGCGGGAGGGACTTAGCGAAGGGTCAATTAAGGGAATGAGAATACAGAGGTAGGTTCTGGAGAAAGAAATACAATATAAACTTACATAAACAAATAGAGAACACATCATTTAGCAAAGTGAGACAGTGCTGCGTGTTCCTGAACTCTGTAACCTTTTCTGCTCCGTTCTGCCACTTAATATGCCATGCTGAAAAAATGCATACATGGCCAACTACACACATGCAACAACATATTCTACAGATCAGTATAGCAAATTCTCTTCTTCACACATACACGCACAAAAGACCAATACACACACACAAACCTCTCAACAGCCAGGTATACGGACTTCATCTGCAGTGACAAGGTGCCACTGTGTGTGAAAATGTCAGCCTTTAACAGTGCAGCCTGAAGTCTGGCACTGCATTTACGGCTCTCATTAGCCTCAAAGAAAATATGCAAAAAAAATGAAGTGTAAGAAAGCCATTTTCTCTCTCCCTGTCTTCACATCCAGAGTACAGAGGCAAGGGCTTATTAAGGTTCAAAACTAGTATGTAGGAGACAATAGGTACCACCACAGGGATGTGTACACACACACATTTTCACATTATTGCACAGTTACATTAGTATATATCTCAGTGCCTCACCATAGTGCAGTCAACCCCATTAGATACAGTCAGTGAAGTAAAATGATGAGTAAATGCTGACCTCCAGACACCAACATTTATATATTTTTTAAAATTTTTAAATAATAATAATAATAACTCAAATGTATATAGCGCCTTTCATGAAACCCAAGGACACTTTACAGAATTGGCTGTGCATGACACAACAACAACATTTTCAGATACAAAACCGGGTAAGCAACACTACGAGAATTTCCAGGCTGTGGTGAATAGATGAAATGTGTTGGATATCTGAACGGAAGGCCATTCCAAAGAGTCGAAACTGCAATAGTGAAGGTTCTGTCTCCGAAGGTGCGCAGTCTAGTGTGGGGAATGGAGAGCTGGCCAGCTTCTGAGGACCTGAGGTTCAGGCGTGGGGAATGTGGGTGGTGGAGGTAAGAGAGGTACTGTGGGGCAAGGGCATGGAGGAATTTGTAGGTGAGAAGGAGGGTTTTGTAGTTGATGCGGGACTTGATTGGGAGCCAGTGAAGGTGGCTGAGGGTCTGTGGAGGTATGTTATTAATATGATTTATGAAATTTCAAGCAACTTCAGCGTAAGATAACAACTCCTAACAACCCAGTCAGTAATAGAGTTAGATGATGATAATAATGCAGAGGAAAAAAATTCAGTGGTGGTTTGAGATTGCCAATTCAATTACAGAAGATGCATCAATCCTTAGACAATGAGTGATAATTAGATCAAATGTATGACTGTGGTTGTGAGTTGGCCCCTTAACATGTTGAATACAATCCATAGGGCTCAACACATTTAGGATTTCAGCGGCCTTAGAGTTGGCCACATTATCCATGTGGCCATCCATATACATGTAAATTAAAATCATCTATGCCCATTACATTGTCATATTTGGCACTGACAATAAACAACATTTCGGTGAATTCCTTTAAATAGACAGGACAGGCTCTATACAGCCTGTTCACCCTGCTGCCTTCTGGGAAGAGATATTGTAGTTTCTGCTGCTACACAACCAGACTAACCTTAACCCCCCCCCCAAGCTATCAGACTCTTAAACTCTAATTCATCCTCAGAACTGTACCATAGACTATAGTTTATTTCTGATTGACATTTTTTTATAATTGATTCTGTATTAATGTATATTGTCTGCTATGTAGCAGAAGGGAGTTACAAAACACAATTTCACTCTATAACTTGTTATATTGTGACAATAAACCTGCCTACCTACCTGTAACAAGCACAGGGGACTGGGATTTTAACAGTACAGCATGATGTTCAAAAGGAGCAAAATTCCCCAGTATGGATATTCCTACACTTTAGGGCATCAGCTCATATAGATGCAATCCCACCCCCTTTTTTATTATGCCTAGTAGAATTCTCAAAACTATAGCATCTTCTCGTAGTAATAAGAACAGCATCTGCCATGATTTAACCAGGTTTCTGTTAAAGATATGCAGTCAAGTCTATGTTATAGATATATTTATACATGAGTTTGTAGTATTTATTTAGTAGTCCACCATTGTTGTTGGGGTGGAGTCCATTGATCTTATAGTATTCACTAAGGATCCAGAAGATGGAGGGATGGTTCAGGGCTCACCTGAGCTATCCCTAACTCTGAGCTTTAGCAATTTGGAGGTGCAGATAATGTCTGCCTCCCAAAACCTAAATTGGGACCTGATTCCACTGGAAATGACCTTGATAGCGGAAGGCTCTGGCTCCCATTCTACTTTTAGAGACACTAGGAACTACAAGTAATCCTGCATTGTTTTGTTATTAATTGTTTTGGCTTATGGTGTGTATATGTGTGTACTGTATACTGTAGTCTGTGTCTGATTCTTGCCCAGTGTTCTTTGTTTACACTTGTTATGAGTAAGGACATCGTAAGCAATGTATAATCAGTCAAATTCATTGTCTGTATACACATACCTGGCAAATAAAGCTTATTCTGATTCTGATCATTGGGTATCATCTGCATAAAAATTAGTTTATATAAGAAGAAGCATATACTGGCAGCAGCCAGTATGACAGGGACAGTAGCAGTAGGGATGGGCACTGGAGGAGCAGCTGAGGCATTAGGAAAACCAGCAGGTGGAGGTGCAGGTGGGTTCAGTACATGTACAGTACATCACTGCTCCAGAGCATGGAACCTATTGCCTTTCCACTGTCCTCATGGGATGGTGGTCCAGGCCCCAGAAGTACACCTTCTGCGATGTTTAGTTTATTTCCCAGAGCAATAGTCCAGGGCTCTGGGCGAGAGGGAGTAGAGCAGTGCAGATTTTTTGGTTGAGTCCCCAGGCTGGGCCAGCTCTCAGATGGTGGTAGTGCCAAGCCAAGGGAGAGTGATGTCATTTTCAGCCAGCCTGGATGTTGCCAAGGCAACCATCAAGTTAATGAGCTGCTTAAGGTTGAAATTTGCCCCTCCAGCTCAGTGATCATCTGACTCAGGTGAAGGCAGCTGTTGCATCTGATTGAAGAGGTGAGCCGAGGCATGGTGTGG